ACGGGAAAATAAAGATATTCTTCATATAAAAAATGATATAAATATTGTTTTTTCCATAGCTAATGTTAAAGTGTTGCTATAAAAACTGTTTTGAGCAGATAAAGTATCACTTTAACCGCAAGGGTAGATAAAGTGACATTTTAACAGCAAGAGTATATAAATGTTTTAACTTTTTTTTATTTAATAAAATTTACAAATTCAAACATATCAAGGATTAAAAACAACTGAAATTTTAGAATTAACATTATTAGAAATATCTATTTTTAGAGCATCACAACTTGTACTCGTTTCCTTAAATACTTGATTCGAGGTACTGGATTGATTTTCTGGTCCGCCAAGTATACACTCGGATACAGCACTTCAATGTAAGATTCTGCAACATATGACGATTTTCATCCACTTAAACGTTTAACTTTTACTAGATCAGCTCCAGAATTTGCGAACATAGTAGCTGAAGAACGACGGAAACAATGCCCCGTGTACATTTCTGAATTTGCAAGTTTCAAAAAATTTGCAATCTACTTGGGGATATTATATATAGTGTTAATCCCCACCGGTTGAGTAGTGCACTTTTGCTGTCGGTAATTTACAAAAAACTTACTGTGAGTTACGTTTTTGGGGCGCAGGCAATATACTTTCTCACAATTTCCAAGAAACTCAGTCCACTTTTCTTGTCAGTAATACAAAACGACCATTCCTGCTTGGTTTTAGTATCAGATAATGAAACGATTATCACCGATTTTCTGTCGTCCACGTTAAACACTTCTAACTTGTACAATTCATAGGACCTAGTCGCTCCATGCACACCAAAAATAGCAATAACCTTCATCAACAAATAGACGTTATCAGGAGCTTCTGTCAGAAATATAATAATGTCATCTGACTCTAATATTTTGGACTTTTTAGCTTTGTATCTGTTTGACATTTGTTGACAGAGTAATGCATATCCCTAGCAACGGAGCAACACAATTGCGATTTTTGTGCTAAAAATTACAATTTTCTTTGAAATTCTTTTATTCTCCTGAACTTGAAGTCTTGTTATAGAAAAAAATGTTGTATTGCACACGACGATAAAATCGCATTATCTTCTCGAGCATAATTAGCGTCTCGACTGACGTTTCGACGCTAAAAAACGCACTCGAAGATAAAATACAATTTTATCGTCTTGTACAATAAATAACTATCATGTAAAATATAAGAGAGAAAACTTATAGACAAAAAATCAAATTGTGACCAGAAATTATTGTTTAAAAAAAACGCAAGGTAAAAAACAAATAATTTTTCATCTATTCGTCATCTAGTAACCCCCACCTATGTCTTAAAAGCTTCAGATATATGCGAAAACTTTTGCCGTGAAATCGATGATTTTTGCATAACCTAAATAAGTAACCTTCGCTTTTGTAATATTTAATTTTGTCCAAAGACCTAATGCGTATAGCACGAATGTCATTCAATTAATAAACTCGATTCTTTTACAAATCTGTAGAGAGAACTCACACTCCAGTCCACTCGTACACCTCTTTAAGGTTTTTTTGCAAAATCTTCAATGGTACACGACAACGTTCAATCTCATGAAAACAGTTAAGGGAATAATTTCAATGCGTTCGAGGATAAAACCATTTCAAACGAATTTAAAATATATTTATTAATATCGCTGTTATAAGCTACCAACAACAGTTTAAATCACTATTTTTTTTTTAATTTCTTCCAATGCAGTTTTTGACCTGATGGAAAAAATTTGTCATTAATCTAGAAAAACATAGGCGTTACGATTAGTTTTTAAGATGTGTAACAATTGTAATATACTTTTTCTCAAAAACGGAGTTAATTTGTAAAGAAAAATCATGGATGCCTGAATTCTCCAGCGAAATCGCTATCTAATGATGGGGCATACATGTTCTATTTGATATTTAAAATCAACCGTTTGTGGTTTCTGAATTGAAGAGGTTGACAAATGACAGATGTCTATATCATTTTCACAAAATCCACTATAAACTCAAAGCGAAGATTAATACTATTACAAGAATTAATATTAACAACAAGCTTTCGGGTCGATTATCACTGCGCCAATCTTTCGACATTCTCTCTGATGCCTTCTTCAGGGCTTCCGAGGTCTCAGTCTACCGAGCCCCCAAACACTACTATACTGATCACTAATCGATGCATTAATGATAATGGGACCAGCTGACGGTTTATTTATACCATCAGTGGTGACGTGGTTTGGGTGGAGGTTGGCGCAGGGATTGGCGCGAATATATCTGACAGTAGGATTTTGATTGACGGGTGAGGTGGACAATATTTTCTTATGAGAGGTCTTCATGTCGAACGTAAGCGTATGCCGTCAACTCTTGACAATTTGGTATTTTTTTAATTTATATGGCTTCTCGGATAATTTTTGGTTTATAATAGAAGCGGATGAGGGCTATCGTTCCGGAGTTTTCAAGATTGTGTTACCTGTATGAAGATGGTGTCGAACTAGAGCTGAAATTGAATCGGAATTGAGAACAGAAATGGAATGTTCATAAATAATATTTTGGATTCTACGATTTGATTGGCCTATATAAGATCGGGGTAATCTACACAAGGAATCTCTTAAACTCCGAGCTGTTCATTTGGAATGTCGTCTTTGATTGATCGGACAAGAGATGAAAGTTTTTGTTGGAGGGTAACAATATTTGATGTAAAGAAGAAAAGCTTTCGTATGATGAGGTTCTTAGTCGGTGCAAAGGCGTATTTATCTGGAGACAAGAGTTATGAGTTAAAAAAAACACAGAAGTTAAAACACTTCACACTTGTATTGTGGTATAAAAAAACAAATAGTTAAAATTTTATAAAAAGTGTCGTCAAAATTTAAGTACTAGCATAACGTTGTCGATCTGAACAGATCATCCTCAGTGCCTTGAGTAATTGTAGCTAACAATAAAGTTATCTTAATTACTATTAAACTGGGAATAAGCCACAATTAAAGATAAAAATACGTTTATTGACGTTTCAATTTCCACTTCGGAAATCGTTCTCAAAATACAAACAGTAAATTAAACAAATTTTGTTTTTTGTTACATAGTGAAAAATTCTTCTAATAATTTAATTTTATCTGACTCATTTATATTGACAATTCAGACATACATTATGCATTTTAAAGTAGACGACTTTAAAATGATATTGCCAATATTTTTTGAGTTGCGCTCCTGGGACGACTATACTTATAAGATGGTTCATTCGATTACATGAAATCAACTTTAACTTGAGAATATCCGTCAGAAAAAAATCATAGCATGTAATTCGTCTTTAAAACGACAAACACATGACATGATGACAGTAAAATTCTCCTGTTAGTGATTCCATAGTAAATTATGAGGGAAAACCATATGAATTACATGCTATGATTTTTTTCTGACGGATATTCTCAAGTTAAAGTTGATTTCATGTAATCGAATGAACTATCTTATAAGTAAAGTCGTCCCAGGAGCGCAACTCAACAATATTGGCAATATCATTTTAAAGTCGTCTACTTTAAAATGCATAATGTATGTCTGAATTGTCAATATAAATGAGTCAGATAAAATTAAATTATTAGAAGAATTTTTCACTATGTACCAAAAAACAAAATTTGTTTAATTTACTGTTTGTATTTTGAGAACGATTTCCGAAGTGGAAATTGAAACGTCAATAAACGTATTTTTATCTTTAATTGTGGCTTATTCCCAGTTTAATAGTAATTAATTTACAATGCCACAAGAAAATAGCTTCAGAACAATAATAAAGTTATCTGTGAGACCTCCATATATGGGTTTACATCATTCTAAATGTTACATTTTGATTATGTTGTGACTCTAGGTCGATGACAATGGATAAATTTTAATTACTTTAGGGACTACATGTCTCCCTGCTCGATTTTTAACTTGTCATTTAAAACGACACAGACCAACTGCGTCTTTTCTATTCTTATTTTGATCTCCTGATTGTAATCATTTGTGGAGTTAATCATTGTTCCCAGAAATGCATATTTGTCCACTTGTTCGACGTTGGTTCCGTTTATTAGAAGATTCTCGTTATGTCTTTGAGTTTTCGATATTCTCATAAATTTCGTCTTCTTCGTCTGCATATCTAATGTTAATGGGAACTCCATTTACCTTTATTCCAGCGGTTTCATTGTAATTTTCAAAAGGGGTCAAATCGTCTGACATCCAGTACCAAATTTTCACAACTGATCAAATCCAATTTATGAGTAGCATTTTCTGTGCATTAAAGTATTCAAACGATAAAATTGATGTTGTTCTTTAATAAATTACATTCATATATTAGTAAGAAAAATTAATGTATCACGAAATGCCAGTCTATTGTGTTGGTCACATATACATGTTTATCTCCATTGTTGTAAAAATGGATATGACCATTTGTGATCCCAGGGTACAGATATATATCCTATGGATCGTGAAAACTTAGGCTAGAATCATCAAAAACTATATGACTAGTTTAAGTTTCAGTGATTTCAGTCATATTAACATTATAGGCATTTATTAGATTCAATAAGAGGATCAGTAGTAGTATCATTAGTAATTAAGGCTATATTAAAATCACTTCTTGGTCATCTATGACCGGACTGTAATTGTAACTAAATATAGAAAAGAAAAAAGAATCATCATAAAAGACTAAAATCGATACTCCTGTCACAAATCTTCAAGAACAGTGAGGATTTATCAGAGGAAGACACAGAAAGAGCATATTCTTAATCTTTTCCAAAATAAAAAAATCCTTAAATTTCAACCGAAAAACATGCGTTGTTGTAAAATTGACTCATTTACATTATCTTTTCTCATAAGTGTTATAGAACGTTTTTTTTTTTTGTTAAATGCACGACCACATTTATATTATTCGTGTTATAAAACGTTTTTTTTTTTGTTAAATGTACGACTATATTAATAATTAGTGTTTTGAAATATTTTCTATAATATAAAAGTTAGTCTGATGTGTCTTTAATTATTTATTTATTTTTTTCAGATGGCGAAATTAACTCCTGCAATTATCATACTGTCTTTATTGACATTATTTGTTGCTGGACAGGATTCAGCAATTCAGTTTCCGGGAGACTCTAACACCGAAGAGTGCCATATTTGCAGCTCTAGTTCACAATTACAAGAGCCTGTAGGAAGTCCATATGAAAATTATGTAGATCATGTAATTGCTAGAGGCATTAATAAATTATGCTTAGAAATCAACCAGAAATATCAGGAAATAAACAAAGTTGATAATACTGTGTTTTCTCCCATAAATATTGCAGGTAAAAAACGTATTATTAGTAGTAAAATGTTTTTTAATTAACTGTTTATTTACAATCTACTCGTTAGTTTTTGAGTATTTTGTCGTCTTAGCGGGAATTAGACCTCTAATATCGTCTACTCCGCTATACGCTCTGCACTAGGGTATTCGTGTGTATGTGTACGATATACCCTAGGCAATTATCCAATTCAGAGCTGGACGTTGGTAGAATCGGACTAAGTCTTGAAAAAGACAAGTCAATTTCTTACATGAGAATAAAATACCATGTTTTCTTATGTGCACTTGCAACGAAGAATAAAATTAAAACGCAGATTTGAAGAACACAAAGACAAAGAGTCTTAGGTTGGAAGGTTGAGGCAGGGTCCCGCTGATCTGCTCCCTAGTGTTTAGGGCTCTAGGAGAGACCGAGGTAAAATGTGAACTGCCTTTTGGCTTGGAATTCAACTAATACTTATACATAATATTTTACAAGATTCCAAGCCAAACAACCAATGGAAAAATAGGAAATGGTACGGAAGGCGGGGCGATGCACGCCAAAAATGCTCATTGGTCAGTTCTGACCGAGCACTTGGTGACAATTTAATAAATTTGTTGATGATGATGACTTTTGCGTGTTGCGGGCCTGTGCCGATTCACCTTGATTCATTTAACCAAATGTTCTAGCCACTGTCTCTTCAGTCTGTTAATTTTTGCTGGATAATTAATAAGGGCGTTCATTAGTTCATTGTCGCAGTTTAAGTTTCTATTTTTGTGTCCAGCTGCATGTTCATGTTTGTGTCTTTTATAAACTGTATTATAAGGTTTCATGGGAGTTTGTCTGAATACATACCAAGGAACAACTGCCACCATCCCCGGCGTTTTGGACTAAGATGTTTGTAAGATTTTTGTATTAAAAGGTTTTGTACATACCCAAAAATTTTATACCCTACAAATTTCTAATTTGCAGATTATTGTAGCTGACTTCGAGACGAATATTAAAAAAAAAAAGAGTTTAAAGAGATTGAAATCATGAATGTGTTGCTTGTGTGAGTTCATTTCAAATAGGTAAAGAAATAATAAATAAGACTTACTCACAATCAATTTAATTTAACTATCAGACGACCGGTTTCGCTTTCTACAATATGCAAAGCATCTTCAGGTCTCGATATAAAGTTAAATAAATGCTGAAATGATAAAAACCCATATTAGGGTGTTGTCTAATAAAGATAAACAAATTAGATGTTGTAAATTACAATAATTATGCCAATATTACATGTCTGTGGTTTTATTTCAAAATGAGTAAGTTGAATAAAAGGTATAAAAAGTTTTAAAAGTTTAAACAGACAAGGTAAGGCCCACAAATTGTTATAAAATAGTCTATTAGATTGTAATAAATTAATAAATGGGCAAATAAATAAACATTACTTACGTGCCGGTACTCTATCAATTGATGGATGGTAGAACATGGTTGAAACTACTATGTATTGTTGAATTAAGAACTCAATTCTGCTATTTTAGTTGTTTGACAGTAAACGGGAAGTTCTTGAGGAGATAGATTTGATCCAATGAAGCAGAGATATGTGTGAGATTGTTTGTTAAATGAAAGTGATGTTATATACCATTGTATTAATTTAAAGTTATTTATACTTATTCGAGAGATATATTTATGAAATGTGTGTTATTTATTGAGTAATTGTTTTATATTATCATGAGCAACATTGGTTTAGTAAAGTATGGCAGTCAAACAGTGACAGGCGCAAGTTTGTTTAAATAGCACATAATGCCTACTAAAACGTAGCAATAACTACGAGTTTCTGGTCGTGTCGCAGATCGAAGCTTAGTAGCAAAATACGCCATTTCACACAAATCACCATAATTAGCTTTTGCTGCATTTTAACTAATTTCTTTTATTTTTGCAGGAGCTTTAGCACTTCTCTTGTTAGGCTCAAATGGTCAAACATTTCACGAATTAGCTACGGTATTAGGACTAGCTACAGGACTGGATATTGAAAACAATTCTGAAAGAGTGCATGAACATCTCGGGCAGATATTTCGGAAAATAGAGCAACGTCCATACTCTGTAGGAGAAGATGAGCAACAAATAAATTTCGCTAATGCAATTTTTGTGCAAGATAGCTTTCCAATTAGAAAAATATATAAGGAGACCGCAGACAGCCTATATAAATTTGAAATTTTTAATCTCAATTTTGAAACAGAACCAGTAAAAGCACAGAAGTATGTAAATGCTTGGGTCTCCGATAGAACTGTGGGAAAGATCAAGGAAATTCTAAGCGAACCTCCACTTCCAAGCACTAAAATAATTCTAGCTAGTGCTATGTACTTCAAAGCGAAATGGGAAGTTCCTTTCTTAGGTGAAGGGGTGACACAAAGGTATAAAATTGAAATATATTATATGACTATATTTTTTTATAATTTGTACCTATATTATTATTTCTCCACGTTATTTAAGTTTCATTTAAAATGCATCTAAAGTCCTTACCTCTTAAGTATTTTGCTAACGATAAAACTCAGAATAATATATTTTTGGGTAACTGAACTTTATACAAGGCACCTATAAATTAGTTTTATAATATTTTAGTGGGTATTCTCTGACTGGGTTTAGCCTTGTCTACTCTTTTAAGTTTTAATTGAATAGTTGCGACTAAGGGATTGTGGTCTGAATTTATGTCACAGCTTGGGTACGTTTTTACATTAAGAATACCATTACGTAACCTTTTGTTAATTGTAATGTAGTCGATTTGGTTTCTCACAATATTTCCTTCTCAATCTTGAGGAGACCTCCATGTATACAGGGTGTCCCATAATTAATTGGACATTAGCTAATGGGTGATAGCTGACATCAAAATAAAGCGTTTGAGCTCAAATTTTTTAGGAAAAATATTGCTAGTTTTCGTTCTACAGGGAGATTCATTAATATTTTTTTATATTATTTTTATGGATATATTGAAAACTATTCAACCGATTTAAGTGAAATTTTGTATCTTGCTATTATTTAGTGTGCTTAATAGGAAAATGATATTAGTTTTACCATTGACACTAGGTGGCGCCACCTACTGTAACATTGGTTCATTAATGGGGCCATAATTTTTTTGTCCGCCCTGTATAAACATTCTAGGAAAAAAAACATGAAGTAACATTCAATTTTACACAAAAAAGGTATTCTTTTTTCAAATCAAAAAAGTACACCGTTTTCGAAATAAACGTATTTTGTTTTTCGCAAAACAAGCAGGTACCTAGGTATGCTGTGAACTTAATGGCAAAGTCAAGGCGTAAGTACGAATTTATTTATTATTAGTTGTAAAAGTGCAGTGCGAATCATTATTTGTCAAAGTGCTATTAAGTTTTTTATAAACCACTTAAGATAAAGGAAAAATGCCACGTCATAGTGAATTTTCTAATGTAGAAATGCGCGATATGATCTGTTTGTATGCCCAGGAAAATTTTTTTTCTCGTAAAGCAGCTGAACTCTATTTCGAACTTTATCCCAATAGAAGGCAACCAAACCATAAAACTATTAGATCATTGTTCGACAGATTAGGCGAAACAGGGTCATTTCATCCCAAAAACAGGAATGCTGGAAGACCGAGAGTAATTGATGCGGATATGAAGGATGAAATTGTTGTGCGTGTTGCAGAAGATCCAGAAACCAGTACACGGCTTGTTTCTGCGGCCACTGATATAAGCAAATCTACGGCGTCAAGAATAATATGGACAGAAAATCTATATTCGTATCGTTTTACTCCAGTACAGAATCTTTTATCACAGGATTTTCCAGCAAGACTCCGATTTAGTCAGTTTATGATGGGGCGGCATTTAGACGATCCAATGTTTTATAATAAAATTTTATTTACCGATGAAGCCACATTTACTAGAAGGGGTTTATTTAACTGGCGCAATAGCCATACCTACGCGACAGAAAATCCTCATGCATTTCAAGAACATCATTTTCAACACAAGTTTTCCATAAATATCTGGTGTGGCATATTTGGGGATTGTATTGTAGGACCATTCGAATTACCAACTAGGCTTGACGGAGTAACGTATCTAAATTTTTTAAGAAAATATTTACCAACTCTTTTAGAAGACATACCTCTAAATTTGAGACGGAACTCTTGGTACATGCATGATGGTGCACCACCACATTATAGCCTAGAAGTTGAAAATTATCTAGATGAAATTTATCCTCAAAGGTGGATTGGTAGAGGTAGTGTATACCCATGGCCAGCACGCAGTCCCGAACTAAATCCCCTAGACTTTCACTTGGAGGGCTACCTAAAGTCACTTGTTTATAAAAAAAATAAATAACCGTCAAGAGTTATGACAACATATTGTAGATGGAGTTAACGTAATAAGGGCCCAAAGAAACTCATTATTTAAAATAAGACAACACTTACACAAAAGATTTAGATTATGTAGTTTATCTAATGGTGCACATTTTGAACACTTATTGTAATTGTTTTTCGTTTCGTTTTGAATTATTCACTTTGTTAATTGTTTTATATTCACTTCATTGTTTAATTTAATTTCCGATCTTTTTAAAATTTGTTACTGAGTCAAAGGTTTAATAAAAATAATTGTTTCAATCATAAGCATTTTGTTTGCAAAAATTATCTACTACTAATACATTTAATATTCACTTTTATTTAAGACCTTTTAAATAATAATTGAATTTACATAAGTTTTGTAAAATTTTTTTATTTTATGCACGTCTCTAAAAAGTACATTTATTTCGAAAACGGTGTACTTTTTTGATTTGAAACAAGAATACCTTTTTTTGTGTAGAATTGAATGTTATTTCATGTTTTTTTCCTAGAATGTTTATACAGGGCGGGAAAAAAAAATTATGGCCCATTAATGAACCAATGTTATAGTAAGTGGCGCCACCTAGTGTCATCGGTAAAACTAATATCATTTTCATATTAAGCATACTAAATAATAGCAAGATACCAAATTTTACTTAAATCGGTTAAATAGTTTTCAATATATCCCTAAAAATAATATAAAAAAATATTAATGAATCACCCTGTAGAACGAAAACTAGCAACATTTTTCCTAAGCAATTTGAGATCAAACGCTTTATTTTGATGTCAGCTATCACCCATTAGCTAATGTCCAATTAATTATGGGACACCCTGTATAGACGTCTTTTAGGTAATTTAAACCATGTGTTAAGAACCACCAGGTTGTTCTCTTGGCAAAATTCAATAAAGCGTATGCCTCGTTCGTTCCTAAACCATATGGGCCGATGATCGATTCGACTTTTCTGCTCCTACTTTGGCATTCCAATCTCCCATAAATATGTTGATGTCGTCTGATTTTATGTGTTATTTGATCTTTTGATCAATATCGGAATAGAAAATCTCAAGATTTTCGTCTGGGCTATGTGCTGTCGGTGCGTATATTTGTATTATATTGATGTCGAACCGAATGTTCGAATATTTGTATTATATTATATTGATGTACGATGTTGATGTCCATTTAATTTAATAATCATTAATCTGTCGCTGACTGGTAGGAAACTTTTCGTGTTGTTTCGTGGATGCTGTTACCAACACTCCTACACCTGACTGGGCATCATCATCTTTGCCTCCATAATAGAAACGGTTGCCATTTACTGTGTTCACATATCCTTCTACTTTCCATCTCACCTCGCACATACCAAGTATGTCCCACTTCATTCGTCTCATCACGTTTTCAGTATTCGCTAGTTTACCTGCTCTATACAGGGTGGTCCTTAAGTAATTGTACAAAAAGAAACCATAGATTCTGCACTTTAAAATATTACGATTTAACTCAACTTGCTTTAGTAAAATGTTGATATTAAGAAATATACAGGGTGGTAAAGTGGAAATTTATAATTTTATTTTTTGCTATAACTTTCACGTCTGTAAATATTTATGGACAAAAATTTACAATTGGATGCTTTTGAGTAGGTGTCTTTGTATATCTCTTTATATTGTTGTATCTACTACCTGTTGTGAACATGTTAAGAACTGTTACATCTTTAATGATATATTGTTCCGTGGACAGTATGTAGTCGGTCACATTTTTTGTGTAGTCATTAGGACTGATCCATGTCCATTTTCGTTGGGGCTTCTTTTTGTAAACTGAGTTCATTGCGTATAGATGCTTTTCTTCTAGGTAGTTCATCAAAGTAGCACCTTTATCATTTCTCTGACCATACCCGAAATCTTCTATTTTAGTTTCTTCTTTGTTTAGTTTTCTACCCAGTTTGGCATTGAAATCTCCAATTACTAGTGCAAGACGATTTTTATGTTCTTCCATAGCCTTTGAAATATCTTCATAAAATAGTTCGATATCTTCGTCATCATAAGCTGTCATAAGATAATTTTTGGTTGATGTTCTTCTTACTTAAGTATGACATAGGCGACACGATCTGATATACCTTTATAATTTGGACATGCTTACTTATAGCTTTATTTATTATAAATCCTACTCCAAATTTACTATTATTTTCATTTCCTTTATAATACAGTAGATTACTGGATTTTAGCTGCATTCGCTTTTCTTCTTTTCGTCGAGTTTCTGATAGGCCTATGATATTCCATTTTATGTTTGTTAATTCTTCTTCCAGTTCCACATTTTTTAGGGCGGGTTGATTCTGCCATAAGTTATCATTTACCCCACCGTTGCATTTTGTTCAAGAGAAACAACACAACTAGAAAAGAGTATAACCTTTATTGTACAATTTAATTTAATACATTTATGTGTTTACCTAACAACTACAATTACTTTTGCGACTATTTAGAAACCGAAAGAAATACATAAATATTGATTAAATCATTATTCGACCTCTCGGACCTTTTAATTTTTATATGATTGTTACCCAACGTACAGCCCAGTAAAACTGTTTGGCATAAATTTATTCAATAAGTAAAATTACTTAAACAAGAGGTATATATGTTGCATATCGGATTATCATAAGATAAAATAAGCGCCAGATAGGAAAAACTTGCGCAGAGTCTTAATTCATGCCGCTTTAACCCGATCGGTTTGTCGTATTCGGTTCGGCACGGTAGGTAAGTAGTAGAATACACACTAATATATAAAAAAACTTTAAAAATCTCCTTCGAATCTAGTACCGTTTTTGCAATCAACAAAGTAAAGCTAAACAGCAAATTCACATAATCAAATATGCCGGTGATGCTGTTAACCTGAATAAAAATGCTAAACATCATCACCATGCATTAAAATCTTTCGTCGAAGACGGCAGAAGAATCTGAAGATACATAAAAAAGTACAAGTGGATGGAGACTGAATAGACTCATGCGACAGAGCGTTAGAAATTATTGAAAGTCTACTGAAATAGTGAACCTGTGTTAGGATCTTCATGACAGAACAATTGGATC